TTGTCGTAGCGACCCGAGGGCCGTTGTGCTTGGTGTTGTATCAGAAGGATCGGCATGTATCGGCATGTCTCCTAGCTCGAGCCACAAAGGACCCTTGATTTTGAGTGCCCAACGCTAATTGGGTGCCTCAGGCGAACGCTTCCACCAGTCAGAGTGCCAATTGAGAAGGCTTCTCAGCCTGAGCTTCTAACAACACGATTAATACCTGATTGACACATAGTTCGGTATATGGAATTTTATAGTATCATTGGCTCGTCCATAGCTACACTCCTGCTTAACCACCACGTCTACTAGCCCCGTCACGCCCTCAGTGATAGATCACGTCTAGCTTCGCATCTATAACCATTGACACAGAACTCCACCTCTTCCTGCGCCAATGCTTAGTTTCCTTGCACCTTGAAGGTCCTGCCGCTTGCCGTCTTTCTCTCCTTCTCCTCGTTCTCGGGTCTGGCGCGGCGCAGCACTGGGTCTTGTTAGCTCCAATGTCATAAATGGGCAAGTCAGGGGCTCACCTTGGAGGAAGTCGGCAGTTCGCTTTCGCATACGGGAGTGAATGTATGCTTTCGAGGCCTTGATATGGTAATGGAAGTAATCACGGAAGGTCTGGATATGGGAAATAACATCGCCCATGCGTTGAGGTGTGAGGTGTCGGGGGAAGAGAACTGTGTCGTGGTTAGCCAATCCCTAAACACCACACCTTGGTGAACATACCAAAGGTGACGTATCCAATGTCTCCAGAGTCGGTGTTCTGAATTCCTGGAACACCCTGCAGCTCGAGAGGGGCGTCGTTCCTGAAGAGGACCTGAGGGGCGTTCTGAATGGCTCGTCGTCGCGCATCGACGAATTCTTGGATAAACACCTTGCCAAATACTCGGTCTGTCTCCTCTCGGAACACGGTGCTAAAGATAACGGTGACTCGGTCGTGGCTGGCCTTGACGTAGATGGCCTCCTCCTCTCGGTAGTGGATCGCCTTAACCTCGCCTCCCTCCTGAACGCCCTGGGGAGCCTCCTCGGATGTGAACTTGGACGCCTCCTCCTTCAGGGCGTAGTGCTCCTGGTAGGCCTGCTCGAACGGCGCAGCCATGGCATTGCGCTTCAGGAGAGCGAACTTGAGGGCCAGCGCATCACGTTCCTCTGGTCAACAATCAGCATTGAGCTCTCCGCAGTTTGGGTGACGTTGGCAGCTCTACCCTTTGACTCTGGGAGGTTCTCCAGGTCCACCAGGACGGAGAAGTCGAAGCCCGGCTCAACCGGTGCCACGTAGTCGCCATACTCTCGCTGGAGAACCTCCTCAGCTCCGTACTTGACGAGGTCCGGGAAGCATCTTATTTGGATCGAAAGAAGAATTTGGGTCTTGGTCTCGGGGGTCGAGATATGGAAAGTAACGCCGTCGAAGTCGCTGACCGTCTGGTCGATGGAGGCGGGAGGGGCACTGACGTACGATGCTATTAGCTTCCGTTTCGGGTGATTTGGAGTGCGCAAGCTTACCCCGAGAACCTCTCAGTCAGGACCGACTGAATCAGCACGTTCTGGTAGTCTAGAAGAAGCATCTTGTCGAAAGGTCCGTTTGCGCTCCCCTGATTCTCGTCGTCCTGGGAGCTTAGGTAGGTGACGCCTGGTAGTGGGGCTTACGTGGTAGAGGCACGTCAAGCTCCCAGCCGCCCACGTGACGTGGAGCTTCTGGTGGAGCCGTGCATTGCCCGTGCTTATCGATAAGAAAATTTCCCAAGTCCAGTCGTGGGATGGAGGAAGGATTCTGGGCACTTTTGTAAGAGACATCGTCGGCAAAGGCCAATTCTGGTCGCAATCCAGCAAATATGGTCAAGTCATATCTGTGAGTTGAGAAGGATATCTAAGCGACCTGAGCTAATACATTTTCGCGCAGGAAATACGAGCATGGCAAGTCCTTTGGTGTCGTCGCCTCGGCGACCTCCAACTTGGTCTGGTCGTCCAAGGATCGAACGGGAACCGGCGCGGGACAGGCGATAGTCGCTGCGAACGAGGAAGTTCTTTGCTGGGATATCAAGAAGGGCGAACTGCTAAGTCGCTGGAGAGATGAGCGCTGCTCTGTGCCTGCGACGGCGATCGCGCAAAGCAAAGCCGACAAGGACGTTTTCGCCGTGGGCTACGAAGATGGCAGTATTCGACTTTGGGATAGCAAGATCTCGTCCGTCATTCTCAACTTCAACGGCCACAAGTCTGCGATCACCAAGCTGGCATTCGACAAGGCTGGTGTCAGACTTGCCAGCGGTTCCAAGGACACGGACATCATCATCTGGGATTTGGTTGCTGAGGTTGGCCAGTTCAAACTGCGAGGACACAAGGATCAAGTGACGGGTCTTCAATTTGTTGAGCCAGAGCCTCAGGTTGAGGATGAAGATGGTGCGCAAGCCATGGTCCTCGATGGCGAGGGAGCCTCGGAGGGGTTCCTCCTGACGACTGGCAAGGACTCTCTCATCAAGCTCTGGGACTTGTCATCAAGGCACTGTATCGAAACCCATATCTCTCAAACAAACGGCGAGTGCTGGGCGCTTGGACTATCCCCCGACTATAGCGGATGCGTCACAGCCGGAAACGATGGCGAAATCAAGGTTTGGTCTTTGGATGCCGATGGCCTTGCGCTCAGCGCTCGCAAGGTGGATATGCCAGCTGCAGCACAGTTCCTGCAAGACCGAGGCACATTGCACCGACAAAGCAAAGACAAGGCGACCGAAGTCATCTTCCACCCTAAGAAGGACTACTTTGCCGTCCACGGCTCAGAAAAGGCAGTGGACGTGTGGAGGATACGCTCAGAGGCCGAGATCAAAAAGGCGCTGGCTCGAAAACGGAGAAGACGTCGTGAGAAGGCCAAGGATGCCAAGGCTGCCGAAGAGGAGGCGAACGCGGGTGAAGAGCCAGTTGATGTCTCCAAGGCTGATATCAGCGATGTCTTTGTCCAGTACGTTATCGTGCGGACAGGAGGCAAGGTCCGCTCTGTTGACTGGGCTGTACCAACTGGACAGAAAGATCTTCACCTGCTAGTAGGCACCACAAACAACCTCCTCGAGTACTATAGTCTGTCACCCAAGGACAAGAGCGAAAAGTCAAAGAAGGATGCCCCTGATTATACAAGGGCGCTCTCCGTGGAGCTACCTGGCCACCGAACAGATATCCGAGCCCTGTCTCTCAGCTCAGATGACAGGATGCTGGCGTCAGCATCTAATGGTACTCTAAAGATCTGGAACATCAAGACGCAAAACTGCATTCGAACTTTCGAGTGCGGCTATGCTCTCTGCTGTTCGTTCCTCCCTGGAGACAAGGTGGTTGTAGTTGGTACCAAAAGTGGTGAATTGCAGCTCTTCGATGTTGCTTCCGCGGCTCTCTTGGACAGTGTGGATGCCCATGAGGGTGCTATCTGGTCTCTCCACGTTCATCCTGACGGTAAATCTGTTGTCTCTGGAAGTGCCGACAAGACGGCCAAGTTCTGGGATTTCAAGATTGTCCAAGAAGAGGTGCTGGGCACGAGGAGGACAACACCAAAGCTGAAGCTGCAACAGTCGAGAACACTCAAGGTCTCCGATGACATCCTCAGCCTCAAGTTCTCTCCAGACGCGAGGCTGCTGGCGGTCGCGCTCCTGGACAACACGGTCAAGGTCTTCTTTGTTGACTCGCTCAAGTTGTACCTCAACCTCTACGGCCACAAGCTCCCCGTTCTGAGCATGGATATTTCGTACGACAGCAAGCTCATCGTGACAAGCTCAGCTGACAAGAACATCCGAATATGGGGTCTTGACTTTGGAGATTGCCACAAGGCACTCTTTGGACACCAGGACAGTATTCTTCAGATCGCCTTTGTGCCTCACAACTCGGATGGCAACGGACACCACTTCTTCAGCAGCAGCAAGGATCGCACCATCCGGTACTGGGACGGTGACAAGTTTGAGCAGATCCAGCGTCTTGACGGTCACCACGGCGAGGTCTGGGCCATCGCCGTCGCCCACAGCGGTAACCTGCTGGTCAGCGCTGGCCACGATAAGAGCATCCGCGTCTGGGATGAGACGGAGGAGCAGATCTTCTTGGAGGAAGAGCGTGAAAAGGAGATTGAAGAGTTGTACGAGAGCACGCTTACCACATCCCTGGAGCGCGATCCTGATGCCCAGGATGAGAACAACGAGGTGGCTGCCGCGAGCAAGCAGACAACAGAGACACTCATGGCAGGAGAGCGGATAGCAGAGGCCCTCGAGATGGGTATGGCTGATCTCAGCCTTCTTCGCGAGTACGAGGAGGCCAAGCTCACCAACCCTCACGCGCAACCTCCCCAACGCAACCCCGTCTTCTTGGCTCTGGGCAACATCACAGCCGAGGCGTACGTCCTCTCCGTCCTCCAACGCATCAAGGCTTCCGCTCTGCACGACGCCCTCCTAGTGCTCCCCTTCGCGTCGGTGCCCATCCTCTTCACCTTCCTGGACCTATTCGCCGCGCGGTCCATGAACATGCCCCTGACGTGCCGCATCCTCTTCTTCATGCTCAAGACGCATCACAAGCAGATCGTAGCGAGCCGCACCATGAAGACGATGCTCGACGGCATCCGCGTCAACCTCCGCGCAGCCCTCAAGCGCCAGAAGGACGAGATGGGCGTCAACATTGCCGCCCTCAAGGTGGTGGGCATGCAGATCCGCGACCGCAGCGTCAAGGACTATGTGGATGAGAACTGGGAGGAGGAGAACGAGGAGAGGAGCGCCAGGAAGAGGGCGTTTGTTCACGTTGCTTAATGTAGATGAAATTCGATGTAGAGAAAAAGAAGAGCAAAACCATAGATTTCAAGCACTATCCATATCCAATTTATATGCCTTAGTTTGACCAACGCCAACGCCGATTCTCCAAAACCACACGTCTATCCATTATAGTTTTCCTGATCTTTCACACAAACTCTAAGTTGATCCGGTAGACACTCGTCGACCGTTCATGAGGTCGCCACTTGGCGCTTCTCGAGACTTGAAAGCATACAAGTGATGCCTCCTTCACGTCTCAACGGCATTGTTTGCCCTCCTCCGTTGTTGCTCCAGCCAAGTGAGGATGATGTCAATAATCTCGTCCATGCGATGCCTCTCTTGCGAAGTAGGATGCTCCATCATACCCTCAGGCAGGTTTCCTCTGTGACCCTCCTCCACCAACTGCGCATCTGGAACAAAGATTTTTTCATCAAAGCCCATTTCCTTTAGCCCCGCGTTGCACAAGGGGCATTGCTCCCTGCGTAGGGTAGAGCCCTTGAGGCAGCGGAAGTGCATGAACTGGTGACAGCAGCGCGTTTCTATAGGTCGAAGGTGTGGAGGAATGTCATCGTCGGCGTTGACGCTGTCAAAGTCTTCGGTGCAGATATGGCAGGTCGTGGTGTTGCTTGCAGCGTACGAGGAGTTGACCACCCAACTTTGAGCAAAACCTTCAGCAACCTGCTTCTTGATGAGGGCATTGTTGACGCAAATTGCACGGTTGCGTTCGAGGGCATTTGCAAGCTCAGTGTGTCGGCTCGTGGCTTGAGAGTTCAGCTGGTTCCCCCTGGGGTGGTTAAACGCAAGTTCGCTTTGCTCCAGAAGAGCCTCCATTACCGGCGAGGCTGGTTGATGGCAGTCCAAAGCGCGTCTCCAGCCCACCTCATCCCTAGTAGTGTCGAGGAAAGGGCATAGAGCGCTGAGGAAGTGGTCACGCATGAGGAGGTCGAGGAACTCGTTGGTGACGCCGGGATCGAGACAGGGGTAAGCTATGAGTTTCATCGCTGTGGATTGCCCAAACTGGATTATTCTTCGATAAGCTGAAGGCGTGAATCTTACCTCCATACTACTTCCGGCCTGGATGCTTGGGCCAAGCCGAATGAGCTGGCGCGCGGCTGTGCTGACCTTGGACATTAGACGTGCGTATCTCCGGATGCCATTCTCGTGCTCGTTCAACCAGAGCTGGTTTGGCATATTGACGAAATGATGCCTAACCCACAGGGGAGGGCTTTCTTCGTCCTTTGCCCAGCCGAACCACTGTTGCATGCCCCTGACTCTCACCTGGGTGGCAGCCTGGTTGCGGGCTGCCCGCGAGGAGTTTTGAGCCCAAGGACGAGCTGTACAATGACAATCCGGAAAACACGGGTATGCCACAGGGCCCTCTACCGCGATGGGGGTGTCTTTTATAATGTGGTCCCTATCTAGCGTGCAGTAAAGACCGCGCTGATGCACCTCCCAAGATGGCTCATCGAGTTCCATGTTATTGATCTGCATTCGGAAGTAAGAAGTAATTAGGATAATGATCTCGTATGCATATGCATCAACAATCTGGGCGAGGATGTCTGGCGTCATGTTGGGACTTTTGTTCTTGAGAGCGAGAACGGGCGGAGCAGACAAGAAGCAAGGGTCATCTTGGGAGCATTCCGGGCAGGGGATATCGTACAGATCGGTACGAATCTCCAGAGGGTACTGCATACAAGCTGTGACATTGGTCATGGCGCATCGGATCCAGCGTTCCTCCTTGTGGCGGGCGTAGTGGTAGCCTTGAAGGGGAGGAAGATCCATATGATTTTGCTCGTTAAGGCCCACCGTCTCTCCATGCTGCCAATGCGTCCAGAAATATGCTTGGGCATTGGTAAGTTCCCGTTCTGGGGGGACCGGAGGACCTTGTCCCTGCACCTGGCAGTAGAACCAGCGATCAACTCTGATACACATGATTCGTGAGGCTGGTGAAAGATGCCTTGGCTTTGATAATCGATAGGTAGTTGGGTAGACGTAATGAATGACTGAGTTGTTGATTTGCCGGTTTTTGTCAGAGAACAGGAATGTTCTCCATGTTGATTTTATAGATACTCGTTGATGGCCAAGAACAAGTCCTGTTGACCCTAAGTAGCGGACTTGATCGATCATGAAAGCGAGCCATTGTTGGAAAGAAAGACTTTGTGGGATTCGTTGATACAATGGCCTAGTTCTTTGTAGGTTTAAAATAGCGGCCCTCTTGAATGGGAAAACGGACATGGTGGAGGATGTTAAAGGAGTTGGGTTGAACAATGCAACAACACCAATATGAAGCCGAGATCACTACTCGGCAGATACATTTCTTTTTGTAGAAGCCGAGAACAAGTCTCAACAAAGAATCAGATATTGGAAGAGCCAAAGACGGGTATGAAGGAGTACCACTTGGTAGTTGGAGTTCAACCTTCTGTATGCAGTTGCTTTGGAAGTGGCTCTTATTGGTTGCAATGGCTTAGACACTCGATCAATGAGCCATAAGTTACCAAAAGCCCGGGCACAATATTGATGGATGAGGTCAAATTCATAAAGCTCCTTTGTAGATGTTGGGATAAAGAGGAAGCGACTTGATCAGAGGAGGTGATGAAGAATGACGCTAGTCCAAAAGTGGAATTTCCGTGATGGCCTCGGAGGAGTGCCGACCGAGAGGCCATGACGAGCGATTACCTCGACAGCGTGAGATGTCATAGACAACAAATCCCCATATTCTCAATTGCGAAGTCGGCGTGGAAATGCCTCGGTAATATCTCTTCCAGGCCTCATCGCCCCATTGCAAATCATTAAATCTGCCTCTAATTACCAACCGGCGACTCGAGACACGGCGCCGACCTCCGAGGCGGAACCATCGGCTGTTACTTCCGAAGCCGCGCTGTGATTCTCGTCGGGATATTTCACCCGCCAAACCTCATCACCAAAGTTAAGAGCTTTGAGGATTTCTACAGGAGATACCCCCGTTCAATTTCATCCAAAATGTTTGCCCTTAGACGTACAATGGCCAGTTTGGCACCCCAGGCATCGTCGAGCCTGAAGCAGGCTGGCAAGGTGGTGTGCATTGGCCGCAACTTTGCGTATGTTTGACCTTGACCTCCTCGAGACTTGCGCTGACGATTGATGTTCAGGGAGCACATTACTGAGCTCAACAACACCAAGCCTAAGCAGCCCTTCTTCTTCCTCAAGCCTTCTTCTTCCATTGTCCTCCCTGGTGAGGGTTCGGTCTTGCGGCCGAATGGCATTGACATGCACTATGAGGTTGAGTTGGCTCTCATCATTGGCAAGGTGGTTCGGGATCTCCAGGCCTCAGACACCCAGGGTGCTCTGGATGCCATCAAGGGTACGTGCTTTTCAATTGGGGAACAAACAATGGCTAACACAACGCAGCCTACGCCGTGGCCATCGACATGACGGCCCGTAACGCCCAGAACGAGGCCAAGAAGAAGGGTCTCCCCTGGGACATTGCCAAGGGCTTCGACACATTCCTGCCCATGAGCAACATCATCCCCAAGGCATCCATCACGAACCCGCAGGACGTCGAGCTCTTCCTCAAGGTCAACGGCGAGGTCAAGCAGCAAGGCTCTACCAACCTGATGATCTACCAGATCCCTCGCATCCTGAGCGACATCTCCAAGGTCATGACCCTGCAGCCCGGTGACATTGTCCTCACTGGAACTCCTGCCGGTGTCGGCCCTGCTGTGCCGGGAGATGTCATCCGTGCTGGTCTGAGGGTTGATGGTAAGGAGTTGGAGGAGGGCAACATTGAGATTCCTGTGGAGCAGTCGCCCAGCTCTTACTCGTTTGCTGAGACTTAGAGGAATGTGAGGAACTGGTTGATGAGATGTATGAGAAAGTATGACACCAAAATGTAGAATATAATGAGGCAGACATTCTGCAACAGCTACTACCACAACATCAACGCCCGCCATACCATACACCTTTTAACTCACTCTTGATACAATCACTCTTAGACACCTTCAATCTACTCCAGATTGGGGTCTTTGATGCTCCCCGGCTTGGGCGCCCAATCAGCCAAAGTACCACACTTGCCACAAGTCCTCTTATCATTATCACCCTTGAAATCCTGAACAGCAGCCTTGATCTGAGTACCCAGGTCAGTGCAGTGAAACGCAGCCTCATGCACGACCTCGCCGCACTCGGCGCAATACCATCGCATGCGATCAAGCGAATCCTTGGGTCGGCGCTGCTCAAGCACGACGCCGACCGTGTTGGCGAAGCGGACGGGGTTGTGGGGTGTGTTGCCGGGGAGGAGAAACATGTCGCCCTCGCGGATGATGATGTCGCGGAACTTGCCCTCGTCGACGACCTTGAGCATCATGGCGCCCTTGTACTGGTAGAACCACTCGGGCGTCAGGTTGATGTGGTAGTCGGTCCTGGCGTTGGGGCCGCCGACGATCTTGAACTGAGTCAGTGAGTCCTTTTTTTCGGGTGTGGTTGATATTTACCATGACGCTAAATTCTTCATTGTAGACGCAGTAGTTGTTGATGGGCGGCTGCAAAAGATGAGAGTTTTCTTCAAGCCTTGCAATGTGAATCGAGTTGTGAGTAAAGTGTCTTGGTGGACGAGTTGATTAGAGTTGACTCACCACTTGGGCAAGTTGATAGGTGCCGAAAGCATCTCTCACTATAGTATCACGAATACAATCTCAAAAGTCGACCAATGTGGGTTGATTCAGGTTGTCAACTTGTTAATGTACTAGTCAAGTTGCGGATGTTACGGAGATCTTAAGTTGGCTGCTTAGAAGTAGGTAGCTAACAAATCATGATGCCTTAATAATACCTCAGATTCAGCCTCCAAAACTTAGCACTCACTGCTCAATGTCTCCCCGTCCTATCTCCATGACTCCGAGTTCGATTTCCACTTCCTCAACCTGGTCACGGGCCTTGGGTTCCATTTGCTCTCTCCCCCGCAGTCGCAGTGGGCGATAATCGCTTCCTACAGGGGTCATGTTCAGGCCGTTCCAGAACGGGTACTTGGACTTTGGTGTGGAATGGGTGGTGTCTCAGGTACCGCTATCGCACCATCCAAGTCCGGCAGATCCCGTGCATCCACAGCTCGGCCACGAGGAGACGAGCTCTCCCTGTCGTGAACCTCTACACCATCTCGAGCTTGCGCACGTTTGAGCTCGTTTCAAGCGTCGGGTTGTTTGGATATTTAATCACCAGACGTCCCTTCTACTTGCATTTGTTCTTGTTGCGACGATACCATCGATTGCCTTCCAAGATCACGACGACCTCACGATAACGAATACCCTCCCCACGACAGTAGATACAATGGACCACGCACACATGGATCACAGCGGAATGGACCACAAGGGAATGGGTCACGGCGACATGGATCATGGCGATGGAGGCATGAAGGACATGTGCAGCATGAACGCAAGTTCCCATATTATCCCCTGCCCATCCACCCGCTAACGACGTCTCTAGATGCTCTTCACCTGGGACACCAAGAACCTCTGCATCGTCTTCCGACAATGGCACATCCGCTCGACATCCTCCCTCGTCTTCTCCCTCGTCGCAGTAATTCTCCTCGCCGTAGGCTACGAAGCCCTCCGCTCCCTCTCTCGCCGCTACGAAGAAGCCCTCGATAAGCGCGTCCGCGCCACACCCAGTGAGCCTCCATCCCCCCCTTCTCATAGACTGCATACCACACATTCTCCCCTTTCCTGTGAGTGGGCTGGGGAGCCCGAGAATGGATATGAAATAATCTCCTTTGTGATACGATACTTCTTGGGTAAAAAGTGCCAATGCTAAGTCTTTCCCGTGAGGTGATGAACCTATTACTGAGTCGACTCCCATCCTTTCAGGGCAAAACCAGGAGCAGGCCGACCAGCGTGCCCATCTCATCAAGGCCGTCTTGTATGCCCTGCAGAACTTTTACGCATTCATGCTCATGTAAGTCACTGTGATGAATCTCTGGCAGACAGTTCTTAATGGCCGATAGGCTCGTCTTTATGACCTACAACGGCTGGGTCATGGTTTCCGTGTCTCTTGGTGCCTTTATTGGATACGTCTTCTTTGGACATAGAACTTCGGCTACAAAGGACAATGCGTGCCACTAAAGAGTGGCAATGGCTACTGCAATGGCGTTTTAATGGCGAACTGTCCAAGCTGAGATACTATGCTTGTGGTCAGGATAACCTGAACTTGGACTTTAGCAACTGGATACTGACAGCATTTATGATACACTGAGAAATCCCATCGAATTCATGAATATTCTCTTCTTAGAGTTGATATGAAGCTGAAGCGGTGCCTTGTGACTTGCCAACCCTTGTTCCAACTGCTATTCCTGGGTCACGATAAAGACTCCCGCATAGCAGAATCGACCTTTGAATCCAGAAACATAGGCTTTGAATATGGTCTAGAGAATTGACTCATCTGAGCCCTTATGCCGTCGCTGAGCCCAAGTCTATTTGTTGCACTGCCTCGCCTAGTCTACATCTTGGCCGCCTCCCCATTCTCCTCCTTCTTTTCCTCCTTCTTCTCACTCAAATCACCAAGCTCATCAGCATGCGCAATAATCGCCTCATCGCCGTAGTTATCATTGTGCTCCATCTCGGGCTCCTCAGCATATGCAATCCTCGCCGCGTCTACGAGCATCCGCGCCGTCATCCCCCACACCTTGAACCTGCCCTCAGCCTCTTCCTCCTCTTCTAGCTTCTCAGCCAGGTTTTCCTGCGTGCTGTTCCGTCGTGGCTTTGACACTGTCTGGTTGTTGACGGGCACGTAAAAGTTGTGTACCCTCCAGGGATAATCCTTCCATGAGTGCCAAAAGCCGTCGTACCAGTGTCCCTCTGGGAGTGCCTCGCCTGGCGCAGGAGGTAAATCACGCTGCTTGAGAAAGTTGTAAAAGGGCGCGCTAAAGACTGCAGCGACTTCGCGAGCGTCTAATCGAGGTATCATGATCTCGTCCACTGTAGGCGCGGGCTCATCGGGTGTGCGTTGGTCTGCGTGGAGGAAGGCGACACATGGCCGCACGACGAGGTGAGTCCTGGCGAGAGAGGGAGGAAGACAGCAGAGATGTTCGATGCGGAAAGGTTTTGGGAGTTTGTTATCATCCATGGGAAGTCCAATTTCTTCCCACGCCTCCCTGCGTGCGATCTGAACTGGAGTTTTCATGTCAATGTAGAGTTCACAGCTCATATTCAGAAGCATCTTACATGGAGTCTCTTCAGTGTCATCCGCCTTGCCGCCGGGGAACGCAGCATGGCCCGAGAAGCTCCTCAGGCTGGCCGCACGCATCGTGATTACGACACGCAGGTCGCCCCGACGGTCAGCATAGAGAAGAATCAAAACAGCCGCACGCCTCCGAGCGGGAAGACGATCCCATAGAGGAAAGGCCGGGGGCTTGTATGCGCGGAAACGAGCAAGCGCCGCCTTGAAGTAGCAAGTTAGCATTATAACACACAAATATTGATACACGATATGGAAAACAATAAGAGTACAAAGTCAAGGGATGGAGTAGAAACTCACCGTAGACATTGCGTTCAGAGGCGACATGGTTAGAGCATCATAGTATAGCGACGCCTCTCCGTGGTTGATCAGCACCTCCTCCCTCGCAGCCTCACGAATACCCTCCTGTAGCGCCTCAACGACGTCAGCGTCGGTGACGCAGTGGCTGTCAGCTGTAGCGTCTGTTGATTCCGGGATCTGGTCGATGGCGGCGGCAGAGGCTGCGTCGTGGATCATGATGTGTCTTGGTGGCCGTTTCCTTCTATAGCCCCGAGTATGTCTATCTCTATACCTTTTCTCACACTCTCTCTCTCCGGCGGCGCTTCACTCTCTGTAGATGCAGGATGAATGGTTGGGGGAAGCCGCGGTCTCGATCGGGAACGGCTCCGGCTCCGGCTTGTGACAGATCTGCGGGGGCGGGGCTCTCGGTAGGTAAGGGAACCAGGCAGCCGGCTGGGACCGAATCGGCGATTTGATTTATACCGAGATTTGAGTGAGACATTCAAGTTGAGATGAGCGAGTTACAGTAACTGTTGAGTCCTCAAGTACGTGCTGCATATTAGAAACTGTAATGCCACCGTCCGTTGATCGATTAATCCTCATGCTAGTAAACTCATCCAGCTCTGAATCACGGCCAACACATCTCATTACATGGAACCAAATCCCTATACGTGAATAGATACTCGTGTGCACTGTAGAGGTACGTGTGCTACCTGGAATAACATGACAAAAATTTTATGGGGGAATCTTTCTCAAAGTGACACTCGCGCCGCGCTGAAATGCAACCATATCCTTTGAAATTACCCTCCAATCGTTCATCACTCACCGTCCAATCTCCTCCTCTGGGATCATCCTGATCTGACTTCTCAGCTGAGTTCTTCTCCTCTCACCCCGTGCTGCCTGTATCATCTTGGCCCCGTCCCGCGCGCTAGCAAACAGATCCCTGACCTGCGATCCCGTCTTCACAAAGAGCCCGCTTTGCTCTGGACGCTCAAGCTGTCGTGGGAGGGAGCGAGGTATCACCATCTCTGTCGAGGTACGCTCCTCACTTCTGCGTGCAAAAAAGTCCTTGATGGTCTCCCTGACACTGCCGTCGTCTCCGTCAATGTCCTCCTCATCGTCAGTTTCGAAAATACTTCGAGGCGGTGAGATTATGCTCGCGGTATCCAACGACGGAGGAATCGAAGGGGAGTAAGGTCCTTTTGTAGGGTAGTTGATGGCAGTGAGTGATGTCCTACTGGAGCTGACGGATAGGGACGAGTCCTTCTTGCGGGTGAATAGCGACTTGGCAGAAACGCTGAGGCGTCTGCTGAGCGATGACTGAGACTGCGACATCATGGAGGCACCTCCATAGATGGACTGTCGCTTGTCGTTGTTGGCCAGCCTGGTAGCGATTCGATGGTACTCGTCTGCAGTCTCAGCATCACTAAAATAGTTGTAAGATTGGCTTGCTTGCCAAGGCGCGTCTTCGTCGAAGGAGTCGTTAGGGTCGTCGTGGACAAGTTCATCATGCTCTTGCTCATGAACATGGTGAACATCATGGTCGACATGGTCGTCAAGGTCGGGGACAGTCTCCAATGGCGTCGTTGCAGTGCTGAATCGTCTCGTCTTGGGCAGATGTAATGAGGCAGAGCGATGTAGCATTGTCTTGGGCGATGCCGGTGCTGTAAAACTTTGGACGCTCATCATGCTATCGCAGTCCGGTTCCAATGGGGGCATGCTGCTGTCGGAGGATCTTGGTTGATAGTCTTCGTGCTCTGCAGGCTCCACGTCGAATATGGGTTCGTCTAATGACAGGCTATATCCACTGGATGAATCGTCTGGGATCGACTTTGGCGAAATAGCGGGAGAGAAACTGGTTCTTGAGGGAGGCGATGTCCAGTCGATACCTCCTCCAACGTCATGGCCAGTCAATTGTTGAATCTTTTGAGAGGATCGGCGTTCACGTATAGTGCTGGCGCCTGAAATACTCATACGCGATGCTCGTCGTCGTGAGAGAGCCAAAGGAACCACGACAGGAGGATGCTGAGGTAGCTCTTTGGGGTTGTTTCCAGGTCCCGTCGTCTTAGGAAAGGCGCTGAATCTCCGAGTCTGCACAGGTTTGGACCGCGATGAACTCCTCGACGGAATTGGCGGTGGTGGTAGCGGCCTTGTCATGTACAGGTAGGCATTTTCCGGGGGCAGCGTCAGTTCTATGCTGCTGATGGAGCGTGGGTAGCTTTGCATGGTAAAGCGGAGTATGCGATGTTTCTTGTCGCTGGAATGGTGGTGTCTTTCGTCGTCTGAATCGCAAGATCGGAGCGCTGGGGCCTCGCATAAAGGATATATTCGGCTTGCTTGCAACCCTCAATATGCGCCACCGCAGAGGACAATAGCTGGGCTGTTGATTCAAGCCCACGCAAGGGCGCGATCTCCTTTGTTCCCCCGTAGCCAAGTAAACTTCGAGTTCAACTCCGCCACAAAGAAACTATGCTTTCATTGACCGGTTTCCAGGATCGATCTTGTCGGTATTGTTGGATCTTGTTGTGGATGGATGAATATTGGTCTTGTCGTGCAGGAACCGTGAGTCAAGGGTTGTGAGAGCGATAGAGGGCGAAAACCTCGCAGCGAATGCCCTTGAGTCACGAACTCGGTCTTTAAGAGTTTGCCCAAACATTGTGAGTTTGAGCCGTCATAGTCCGTCGGTGGCTACCAAGCCCACGGAACCTGGATATTCGTTCATCTCCCCCGGAGTCACCTGGGACCAAGCGGGTTGTGGCGGGAGGCTTGAGTCTAGGCTCGGCGAGACGAGGACCACATCCTCCAAGACAATGGACAACATTCCAGTCCACCGCGCCTGAGTGGAGGGCTGCGCGAGCGGCACCCGGCAGAAATGACAGGAATAGATTGAATAATTGTCGAGTTCCAGGGTCAGTCTCACTCGAAATGGCCATATTTCTCCCTCGTAGAGACGTGCGCAGACATCTGACAGCCGTGACACGTCTGTGCCCTCTCACTGACAGATAAACAACCATGAAGCCATCGTCGTTAGAAAACCCTACGGCCACTGACGGCAAGCTGTTCACGGGCGAGCATTGGCTGCCGAGAGCCCCAACCACGCCATGTCGTGCCTCCTGAGCTCTAGTGCTTCTAGTGGCTACCGCAATTGTACGAGTCTTCCCAAAGCATCGACTCGTCTGGTAGAGTTCCGGTTCGCCCGACTCAGTTGACATGCCTTGGCTCTGCGGTTGACCGACATTTTGTTCCGGGAAAGGCAAGGCTGCCCAGAGACGCGGGACGACCCATCCGACAGGCGACATGGCCATCTCGAGACCAGGGCGACATTTGCACCAGAAACCTTCCCAGAGACCCGGAATGCCCTCGTGGCAACTCAAGCCCTTGCCGCCGTGAGCCGTGAGCCCTGGCCCTCCCTAGCCCTGGCCCTGACCATCGCGGGGCCGCATCAGGAATGCGTGTCTCGACGTGGAGTAAGAAGATTTGTTCGACTCTGGCCAAACCTTGGCCCAAGATGACTCTCATTAGATATCCCAATCTATTCAACACACACACGTATTTGCACCGGACGCCCGGATAGACCGCTGTTTAGTTGCCGTAGTCCCTTGTAGTCCCTTGACTGTGCCTGATAATGACGCCATTTAATCCTCCTCGTCGTCCTTGCCCTGATAGTCTCCAAGAAGAATGTCGTCGATCCCGAGGCCGGTGGAGGAATTCCTGATCCACTCCGTCTCGACGCGGAAAAAGATCCACACCCATCGTCGGAACACCTCGAGAAACTCGATGAGGAATATACCTCCCTCCAGGTCGCTGAACTTGTCCAGGCGGCTATTGAGTTTTATCGACCATGTACACCGCAGCATCAAATCCATGCCGATCACAAAGTAGTAGAGGTTGGGCACCCTGAAGACCAACCTATCTCGCAGCCCAAAGGGATGGTGTGGTGATTCTCGGTCTCGCTTTGACGCGAAGAGGGTCATGTCCCAATCCTTGGTCACGTCCCAGTAGAACGAGTAGAGTGAGTTGATCAACACAGCAACAATCCATGCCTTGTGGAGGATGGCCTTTGACTCTGGGTCATCCACGGACCTCTGCCAGGCGCTGGTTATCAACACAGGAAATGCCGACGAGTACTTGAGGGCGTTGGCCAAGTGCTGACCACCCCAACCCGTCGACTCCTTGTATGGTGCCCTTCGAACACGATAGTACTCAATCAAGCACTGTCGGAACCGAATCAAACTCGGCAACCCCATGATGAGCGGCACAATCACTGTTCCTCCGCAGTTGCGATCGGGTCTCTTAGTCGACGAACCCTGTGCTGAGAAGAACATGCACAACGTAACGAACAGGTCTCCAAAGACCTTGGCATACGATGTCAAAACATCGGCGAGCAAGATATCTCCGAACTTGCCGTCTTGGGCTTCGGCTAGCCCACCAATGCTAACGCGCCGCAGGGTAGCCAAGAACCTCCTTCTACCGCCGCTAGGGAGGTTCCTAAGCGGAACAACGAACAGCACAACCAGTGCAAAGAGGTAGGATAGCGGCATCCAGCCGTAGGCAATAACGCGCTCCGGAATGCCCCATGTGCAAAGCCAAAACAGAGTTATCGACAAGCTGAACAATGCGGACAGAGCTATAGCGAGGCGATAGGTCGAGCCATGATGCGGAATGTGTTGCGGTGATGATCGGCCGGGATATCGAATAAGCTGCGGAACGTCGACATTGAAGAGATAGAGGCAGTGGAGGTTCAAGCCCCATCCCCAGACGGCTGCGACAAGTCAGGCTCAGTCCATATCGTCAACGAGACCACACTGATACTTACCCAAGGTTGCGATGAAGCCGACACGGTATGGCAGAGGGAAAGCCAAGCTGAAGGAGTCAAGCTCCGGATCAACAGCGGGATCGCCATCCATTGAAGCGAACCGCCATCGGGCAAAGGATACACGACAGAGAAGGAGTACGGAGGGAGCACTCGACGAAGCGCCTGCAAAGGGAAATTTAAAGGAGTGACTGAGTAGCAACAAAGTTCATGAGGTCGATTGCGATTGCGACGATCCAACCTGTCCTCAAGGTGAGATTGCAAGGGCGGGTCCTCGGGTTTTTTTTTTCAGGGGTATGGACCGTGGACGTGGAGGCAGGCATGAAGCTGCCACTTTACGCGGCAGCAACGACGTCAGCACCTTCCCTTCCACTTTCCTAACGTGGGCGTGGGCATGTGCTCTCGGCTCAGCTTAGCCACACTCTGTCCCATGTCAGCCAGCCACAGCCACACCTACACGGTGCGCCACAACCCCACGCTCACTAACACTGGAAGCGACAAGCTCCACCCATGCCCACGTTGCTTTAGCTTTGCCCCTTCCTGGCGATCATGGCGGCCAGGGTGAAGCGAACAACACGCACAGAACGAAACAGTCTCTCCAGGTGGGGATGGTCTCGATCAGGCTCGAAGTCGAGTTGCCCGGCTTCGCAGAGCCCGTCTGCAAACTTGCTCGTCCGGTCTAAAACCTGGACGCTGATCTACGGCGCTAATCTGCGAGTTGCAGCCGCACGCCTCTCGTCACGCCGTCACGCCGTTGAAACAAGCCTGCATATCTCTCTCGACCCTAGCAGCCCACAGCGCTGCGAGGCGACTTGGTCAGAAACGAGAGACCCTAGTCCGGCCACAAGGCACACCTCACCGCAGATCTAGGGGTTAAATCCGTGCCGATGCTATTCGCTAGCCCGGGTTCTTGGAACTGTGAGGAGTCGCGGAAAGGCAGCTCCCCTTGCCCCGGCAGACCGGGTCTCCACCGAGGTTAGCGGGTGAGAGAGACGTTGTCCCTTCTCCCTTTGCCGCATGCCTGGTCTGGCTGTTACGTTACGTTAATGGACTTGTTCTTGTAGGGGATGGACTGCTTGAAGTGGCTCTGAAATGGTGAGAGAAACCCATGCCAAGATGGCCAAGATGGATCCTACTTTGGAAGCGGCAGGCGTCGAGAGGAAGCTGCTGGTACGGAGCCGTTTATGCATCCCAGATCCCACCTGACCTGGGGGATCGAAGCTGTTCTTGTCCCACTCATGCTCTCGCTGAAATGCCCTCACAAGGCTGAGGAAACAGGACGTGGCATTGGACCATTGGGGACGATGGGCCTATGACCGAACACCACTGTCACTTCCCACCGGTATGACACAATGGCTTGCAATCCTCTGCTCGGGGTCCCTAGAGTAGAGCTGATTTCTCCAGTCTCTCTGCGCTCCTGATGCCTGCCGAGGAGCCCGACAGCTCCCACCAGGGCGGGTGGCTCAAGTACCGACCCTGGTGGGTGCAATCATTCACACAGAGTCCAAAATTTGGCGGCACAATCGGCAGCCGACCCAAAGCCCCCCCATATAACCAACACGCTGACGATTCCAACACCGCGGTTCTCCATGACATTGGACTGCTCACCGTTCGGGTTTCCAGACCTAGAAACTTCTGGCGTTCAAGATGAACCCCCCACAGCCGTCAGGTTTCGCCGCCGAGTTTATTGTTGAAGACCCAGGCAGACCCGTCCCCCAGAGGCCCGTCCGGAGGCGGGGACTGGAGACTCAGAGAAAATGGATCAGAAACTGGATGAAGAGGCTGCCTCAGGGAGACGAGGACTGGGACAACAACTCGCCGTCTACGCCAGACGATATCCAGCGCCTGCGTGACCGCCTGACACTGTCCCACATCCAGTCCCGCCACGAGATGGACTGGGCGACTCTCCTCGACACCTACGCAGCTGCCGCCAAAGATTTTGAGGGCCGAGAACTTCAGCTTCACAGCATGGTCATGGTTGCCGCCTGTCATGTGGCGTACAATAACGGTCTGCCCAGGGACGACATGCTCCAAGCCATGGCCAAGTGCATCAGCGGCGGCAGTGACACGCTGAGGTCGAAGCGATTCGCGCTGCCCAAGTGCATATTGATCGGGGACGAGCTTGCCAGCGTGCTCGGCGTGCGAGCTTACGAGCTTCCATTAAGAGGTATCCTATCTACAAGACTCGCCCATTTTTAATCCATCGTTACGAGATCCTCATGCCGTCCAGTCAACTCGTACTTTACTTTCGGCCAGCACTTTACCAGCGAATGCTTTCCACTCCTACGCGAGGAGTCTGCCGTTGCCCACCGTCCATCCACACCACTGCCCTCGGAGGTGCTCCGAATCCCAAGTCTCGTCTTTGACCTCTGCAATGGAAAAGTCAGGTACGTGACAGCCTCGCGAACCAACG